TAACCCCTAAATGTCAGGGCAACAATTTCAAGATTACGTGACAACTCTGAACACTATGGAAACCTCATCGTAAATACTCATAGATGTCTTGAAGTGGTCTGGGTGCCAGGTCCATCTAGGGTTAATCCTGCAGCTGTAAACATAGCAGTTTCAGAGAAAATGCTATGTTTACACTAGGGTTAATCCAGCCTCTAGTGGCTGTCTCATTGACAGCCGCTAGAGGCGCTTCCACGCTTCTCACTGTGAAAATCACAGTGAGAAGACGCTGACGTCCATAGGAAAGCATTAAGAAATGCTTTCCTATGGACTGTTTGAATGCGCGCGTGGCTCTGGCCTCGTATGCGCATTCAGTACTGACGTCGGAAGAGGGAGGAGATTTCCCCAGTGCTGAGGGAGCCCGGCACTGGAGAAAGGTAAGTGTTTAACCCCTCCCTCCCCCTTCAGCCTGGCGAGAGTGGGACCCTGAGGGTGGGGGGGACCTTGAGACCCTATAGTGCCTGGAAAATGAGTTTGTTTTCCTGGCACTATAGTAGTCCTTTAAGATCTAATTACCACCCATGCTGGTAATGGGCATTCTGTGTCTGCCACAAATGTATTTAATTTTTGTAAATTTGTAAAAGTATGTGGAATAGATACACAATGGGACTCGCATGTCCCGGCCAAAGGGAGCAAGACAAACTGGTCTCCACACAAACAAACATTTTTACCAATTGGCGATTAGAACAAGAAACAGTTAAAGATTTCACCAAGCAGTCCCTTGGCGTAGCGGGATTTATGTCTGGCTGGATTCGTCCGAAATTAATTTAGGGAGTTCACCGTGAGGTTTATTGGTACTAGCACCAATGTTTGGGTCAGAACCCAAAGCGGATGCCATTATTTTTTAACATTTTCACCCAACTATTCTTTAAACAAACGTGAAGGCCTTACATGGCTCAGTCCTTCACCAGATATATTATTAAATAAAATAAAAAAAGAAAGAAAAATGTCAACCACTAAATTCTTAGACACACGCTTGGAAATCACTCAGAGATGAGTACTTAAAAACAAATGCACTAGTTAGTAACCCATACAAATCATATGTTGTGTGCAGTCAATAAAAACAGAGAAACAGGCATTTAGAAAACTGTGATTTATAAGATAACGACACAAAAGATCAACGAATAGCTCTGTTTTGCCAGTGAACACTGTTAACATGTACATAAAAACATATAAAAGATTCATAATTAGTGCGACAGCACTACACTCTGTGGGCCAGACACAAGTATATTACATTTTGTGCTCACAAACATCTAATTTATAACCTAGATTTAAAGGCTTATAGTAAGTCAAGCAGAAGAGAGTGTTAAAAAGTATATATTTACTTTTATTCTAAAGACAGAAGTTGTTACTCATTTTTATACGGAGAACCTGTACAGTTGATCAGATTTATGATGTATGCTGTATGTTTATGGCATTTTTATTGTTTTGTGCTAATTTATTGAAGCAGCTGTACTGTGCATATTCTCTAAGCATCTTTCGACTTTTTAAAGTGCGTGTCAACACGCACCTTCTAGTTTAATGATCCTAAATTAACGGGTTTTCTGTGATACACATTTGAAATACCACCCATACAGTAAAACAACATACTGAACTAAATTTGGAAAAGGCAATAATGCTACAAGATAAGTGATGCTGAACGTAAGAACCATTAAGTGAAGTTTCTTTGGTTGGGAGTTGCTTATTCAAAACTGTGAATCCTACATTTTTGCATTATTCACGGAAGTGAGAATTGTCTTGAATTCAAAGTGAAAAAAAATAGCCGATCAAAAAATAAAATTAAAAAAAATAAGTCAGCGTTCTTTCAGGTCAACTAATTTGATCTGAAATTCATTTTAAATTGCTGACAATTCACACTTTAATTAATAACCCTGCTTATCTTTGCGTTTCATTATTTGGTGAATTGTCTAAATCGATGGCAGATCTATTTTGGACTCATTGGTTCTAAATCATGTCAGTAGACATTTTCATCCTTTCATAAAACTATACATACTGAGCTTTAATGACACTTAAGTTAAAACATTATTTAGCTGCCTGGCACCCCCGTGTCCTCTTTAAAAAGAGTTAAAACTCACCTTAATTCCATCGCTGTGGGTTCACCAGCTCTGGCTCCACCTATACTCTACACTTTTGGCTGAGATCATAAGAACTTGTGATCTCAGCCAATCAAATGCTTTCTCATAGCATTGGAAGGCTAATGCACATGCATCTCTATGAGGAAAGTTCAGTATCTCCATACAGAGTGCGGAGACGCTGAACGTCAGTGGTGCACATTGCACAGCACTGACCCAGGAAGGACCACTATTGGCGGTCTGAGTTACTGCCATATGAGGTGCCCCTAGCTGTCCCATTAAGCTGTAGTTGTTCTGGTGACTGCAGTGTCCCTTTAATTGAACAACTGGATAAGCAGGTATAACCATAACCTGCTTTGCGAACCACAACCTTACAAATTGTTTGCATTTCACCTGGATAAACTTCAAAACTGAAGATTTCTTGGACTCAGCAGTTCTAGATTTTCTAGAAAAAGAAAGGAAAGAAAATAAGAAGAAACAGCAAAAAAAAAAAAAAAAAAATGGAAGAGGGAAATTTCCTAAATCGCTAAATAACTTCTTACACTATTTGTACTATGTCTGACTGTACGTGTAGCATTGTGTATATGTAACATTGTATGTATACTGTTTCTGAGTGTGTGTAGCAGTGTGTGTCAGTGTGTATACTGTGTCTGAGTGTGTGTAGTATTGTGTTATCATGTGTAAACTGTCTGTTTCTTTGTATAATAGTGTGTCACTGAGTGTATACTTCATCTAAGTGTTTGTAGAGCATTGTGTGCACACTGTGTCTGATTGTGTCTGTCAGAGTGTGTCATTGTGTATATAATGAGGTATGTGTGCTCACCTTACATCATAGTAATGTGTACCTGCCATGTATAAGATATATTCTAGTTCAATTTGTCTTATCACTTCCGCGGAGTCTTGCCAGAGAAAAATTCCGGCCTTTGCATTGCATATAGTCAAATAGTGGCTGTGCAATCCGAAGTATAAAGTATATAAAGGAACACGTTCTACTGGGAGACACAATTTGTAAATCTGAATTGAACACAGAAAAATTACCGTAAAACATCTAACCTGTTCATTTTGAATTGGCTTTAATCTGTGTTCTAAAGTAGAACACTAATTCTGGAAGCAAATATTCTGTTTGTTCTTGACAGACAGAAAGGGAGAAACCCATGCAGATAAATAGAGAGAGGGAGAATTAACTTACATTTTGTATTACGAAAAGGTGTAAAAGTTCAGCATAACCCATGAAACAATTATTTTTAAACCAAATTCTATTTAAAAAAAACACCCTTTCACAAAAATAAGCCAAATATTAATAATTAGGTTTACAAGTGTTGCCTTTCCTTCCCGTTTTCATTGTGATCATAATCAGTTTGTACGTTTTAATTTGTTTAGATATTCTAAAATTTTGTTTCCCATCTTCTTTTCCTCTTCTTTGTCTCTCAAACAATAGGGGTTACAGTTGAGTAGGACAAATAAATATATTAGAATGGAGGAAAAAAAACAAGGAAAACATAATAAGCAAAATAAGACAAACAAACATGTTAAAAATAGATATAAATCCCCTAAAGCCAAAGCAACTAACAATGCAACAGTACAAGAGCATCAAAGCCATTTCTAGATGCACAAACAAAGGTGAAATGGTTTTATGGAGAGTTCAGATTGAGTTCTGCAGTTATAGTGATGATTAGACATGTGCAATTTGTTTTCTTCCAAATCGAATTATGTACAAATTCAGCAGTTTGGAAGCTTCCAGATTTCCAAATTCTTTAGAAACTTAAAACAAAATAATTCAGAACAAATAAAACCAAATTATTTAGGATGTATTTGTTTTTAAAAAATATAGCAACATTTCTTAAGTTTGATCTTTCAGCTGTTTAGTAGATAACTCCTTAATTTGGTTTCCTTACGTGGGATTGCCATAATTAAGGGTACAGAATTAGGGACTTATCTACTTAGCAACTGAAAGAACTCCCTAATTTAGTAGATAATTCTTTAAATTTGTATCCTTACATAGGATTGCCATGTTTAAGGATACCAAATAAGGGTGTAGTTAAGCAGATAGTGCCCTTATTTGGTATCCTAAAATATGGCAATCCCAACTTTCCTAATTTGCCCTTTTATTCATTTTTTTCCCCAATTTGTATTTTATTGTAGTTTGCATGCACAAATTACAACTGTTCGCAGTATGAGATAAATAAGAGAATAAAACATTAGTCACAGGTTCCAGGATGAGGCAATACATACAGCGCTTTGCGCTGGTCCCGGCCATATGGGCCCCGTTTGGGTTAGTGGGTGACAGGTGTAGACACTGGGGAAAGGTCGTCTCGTCTCCAGAGGGGGCTAATGCGAGTATGTCATCTCCCTTCTGAATTACTAAGGAACCCTCTATCCCCCACCAATATTTAATTGCGGCTTCTCGCAGCCATCTTGCAATAGGTGCTAGCTGCTTCCTCGCCGGCAGCACATTGAATGGGAGGTCTCCGTAGATAGCTACGGTACATTCCTCGAAGTGGATATCACCTAGCTCTCTAGAGCAGGACATTATGGCAGATCGAGCTGCAATGTCCTTAGTCACTGCTATGATGTCTCTTGGAGCATCCGCGGGTGCAGCTGCAGCTTAGCGAATCCGGAACACTGAAGTGACCATCCCAGGGTCTTCAACTCTCTTAGTGCCCATGGAGGTCAGCGGTCTCTGGAGAAAGGGTAATAGGGCATCTCCCGCAATTCGCTCTGGCACCCCTCTAAGGCGGATATTCTTCCTCCTGTGCCGGGATTCCAGCACTGTCACAGTCCTGGTTAGTTTCTGGACTTGTTGAGCAAGGTCCTGGGTCTCATCTTGTGTAGTCTGCAGCTGTTATTCTCTTGCTTCTTCCCTGGACTCCACCTCGGTAAGCCTTTGACACAGGGACCCCATCTCTGCTTGAGTTGCACACAGGTCTGCTTTCCACACCTGTCTCATTTCCAGCAAGAGGTCCTTAATATCCTATCTTGTTGCTGGTGACAAGTCTTTATCTGATTCAGACTCATTGTAGGGACCAGGTGTCAGAGGAGAGGCGGGAGCCTCCTCCTCATCTCGGGACGCCTCGGAGGCCTCCTCCTCACTCAGCTCCGCCAGCGTCATCTTAGGTAAAACTCGCGGAGTGGGCCTGTCAAATGATAGCCTGATATCAGGCAGTTTTGGTACTTCTGAGATGTGGAATTTTCTATTTTCTTGCCCCATAATGTCGGCTGTGTGGGGGTGTTGAGGTATGAGGCTTGTGAGGCTTTTTATTTTCAGTTGTCTGCTGTTTTCCAGTTTCTTTTACGGAGCTCCTCTCTAGAACGTCTTTCTTGTTGCCTTGGTAGCCACACACCCTTCCCTTTTATTAATTTTGACCTTTAACATGTGTTTAGCAGATAACTCTCTAATTTGGTACCCTTATGTGGGATTGTCATATTTAAGGATGCCAAATTAGCTGCTAACCAGTGCCCTAATTTGAAATTCTTTGGAATAATTAGAGTTCTGGATGCAATGCAGTCAGTTTAAAATGTCAGTTTCCCTCCCCCCAAGCTTTTATCTGGTTCCACTGAATGCCTAGGCCCTATATCCCCCCAATGGTAGTGAGCGGCACCAGGAGGGTTAAACAAACCTTTTTAACTGCAGAGCTATCTTGGTGTATCTGCTGCTGCTGCTGCTGCTCCCTCTTTTTTTTTTTTAAATGCCTGACCTTGTAGTGTCTTCAACCTGCCTTATGTATGAGTTAAAAAATGGATTGCTGCTTCGTGGGTTTACTACTACAATGACGTTATTGTTTTTGACTACTCCGCACACAGTGCATTACAGTGCATACTTGCATATGATACAGCTAAAGAAAAAAGCCTTTGCAGACTGATTCTTCTTCTTCACTGATGCTCTGCTTGCAACACTACTACAGCCACATTCAGTGCAGGCAGGGTTCACTTGTGCAGTAAACTGCAATCACCCTCCGTGTTGCAAATTGCAAAACACAGGCAGTGACAGTGAAACACAGTGCAAGTCAAATAACCTGCAGCCAGGCAGGGCAAAACCACTAAGGAAAGGCATTTGAACATTATAGCCACGACAACCAATATTTTTTTAATGCAAAGATTTTGAAAAAATTACCTGCAGTCATGATATTCAAGTTGGTATATTAGTCCATCGGTAGATGCAGGGATAGATTAACATGAATTGATGGAGCTCCTTCTTCAGGTCCATGCTCAAAAATAGGCCCACCATGATGGCCACAAGCAGAGGCCGACAGGAAGATTAAAAGGTCATCCATGCAGGGCAGATACTAATAGACTGTGGGTCCAAAGAGAAACCTGTGACAAAGATCTACCTCACCATCCAGGCCAGACATAGGGTCTTCTGCAAATGTCTCATAACGTTGCTGTAGGTCAAAATGGCAATGCTTTGATAATTTATGTAGTGTCAGACCAGGGGGAGTAGCAAACACATTGTGAATCTGCCATTGGCTGCTCACTGTTAGATATACTAAACCTCCCTTACAGTACCTCCCTCATATTGACCCCCATAAGCTTATAATTTTTTATTTTATTTTATAATGTGTCCGCTGTCTAGCAAGTGTTATCCAGACATCCCATTATTAACCCTCTTGCCACTAGGTTCAATGGCACGGGCTATATCCCACTCCCACACATGGCAAAGCGAGGGTGAAACACATAATATCACTGCTCGTCTGTCTCACTATATAGCTACAGTCTCTGAAAGAATCCTCCTTTTAAGTTTAAATTGTTTTACTGCTCCTACTTTTTCCCTTTATTGGTCAGTTACCACTTGATCTGTGAGTAATATGAACATTTACTGGCGGTCCCCTGAACATCAATCAGCTCACAGGCCTCCTTAAAGGACACATTTTCTAATATCCCCTGTTTGTATAAATTGTAAAAGCACCGCATAACACAGCATTATATAAGAACTGTAAAATGATTAAATAATAATGGGTGTAATAGCATTTTTTTGGATGATGCTTATAGCACGTCCTATAGATCCCTGCAGCAGAGACGAGTCCGTTAGCAACAGTATGGGTAACAGATATTTAGCTCTTAAACTGGTGGAATGGAAAAGAAGTTTAGAAATCTCTTGTGTCCTTTTCCATTAGTATTATTATTTGTCCTCCCTCTAGAGCACTTTTTACGTTTTTGGAAAGTATCCTGCTTACTATACTTTGTGCTGTAATAACAAGTCTACTTGTATCCCATTTTAACTAAATCAAGCAGAAGAAGTTGGTTAAAGTAGGTGATTTCCCCACCCAGTGACTACTCTGATGTTGTTGATTGGAAAGGTCGGTGAAACTTGACCATTTTTTGGACAGACTGCTTAATTCATTAACATTTTCATTTTTCTGTATTGTGTGAATTAAAAAAATGTATATGTGAACAGCTTGACATGAACAAAACCCTCTGTTTTTTCCTCTCTTTACTGTTCTTAAGTGCACCCACTGCCATAATGGGTTATAGAGATCCTACAAACCCCTTTTCCCAACGTATTCTTCACAACATAAAAATGTGAATTATATGAATTATGTACAAAGTGTAATGTTTGAAATGCAAACATTGTTTGACGTGCCTTGATCATATAAACAGCATGGAGCCGTCTCACTCGTCAATGATTTAGCATCACAAAAGGGTTACACTAAGAAAAAGGAAGCAAAAATATTTAGTACTTGTTTGGCATGTAGATAAAAAATGAAATCATAAATATTCAAGAACAATGGAATGCAGAAATAAAATGTATAAAAAAATAAAGAAGCTTTTTTTGGAGGGGATCTTGTGAGGGCTGGTTCGCACTGGAGATGAAACATTTATTGCCAGCTCTATTTGTTCGTTTGAGGTTTACCACATGCTGTGTCAGATTCTCTTTAATAGTGATGGCTAATCTTAGATGCTTGAGCTCCATTTCCCATGATGCTCAGGCAGCTGTTGGATGAGCATCATGGGAAATATAGTTCACAAATATTTGGGCTGCCAAATTTAGCCATCACTGTCCTGTAAGATCTAGGAATGTTAAGAAATAGAAATTAAATGGTAAAATTCTGCATAGTATATTTACTGATTTAAACCAGGGAATGGTGAAATGAGAAACACACTTGTCACATTTTTTCATCCTTTCGCACCGAAACATCACGATGTAATTTTGTTGTTCTTATCGGGTTTTTCTTGCAAATTTCATTGTGAAATATGTGAACTGACTTCTCTCAGAATGCTAATAATTATCACCAAGTATTAGATTTGTTTAGAGTGAAACATTTTGGTTCTTCAAAAACACTTAAAGCGGCGCTGTCATGTCGAACTTACCTTTCACCAATCGCTTCCTCTCCTCTCAGGATCTGTTCTTTTTTTCCTATCTGATCTAGTTTTCTTTAAAACATTAGACAAAGTAGGTACTTTGTCTTTTGTATTTTCCTACGCCTGACCAGCTCAAGTGGGTCAGAAAAAATTTCCCATAATACTCACCCTTTCCTCCATGCTTCCTTTCACTATTCCCCATCATCCTGTCATATAGACTACCGAATTTCGTCCTAACAGAATAAGAACAGTTTGTCCATTCGTGTTAGGACGCAATTCGGGACTTTTTGTTCGGATCAGAATTTCATTCGAATGAATGAAATGCCGATCTATTCGTGCCGTGAGTAGATAACTCCCTAATTCCTATGGTATCAGAGAGCTATCTACTAAAAGGCTGAAAGACCAAGATTGGTCTTTCAGCTAAATTTACTAATACTAAGTAAAGATTACTTAGTATTAGTAATTAAGGGAGATTAAAATCTCCCTTCTGCCCCTACTCTTTATACCGCGAGTAGAGGCATGTCTACTAAACAGTGAGCAGCCAGTGGCTTAGGGCCCCCACCTGCCGCTCATGGGTGGGGCAGAGACAATAGGTCCCCCTCCTTTTTGTTACTTAGGGGCCCCACCCACCGCTCATGGGAGGAGCATGGGGAGGAAGACAATAGATACCCCCCTTTGTTACTTAGGGCCCCCACCCGCCGCTCATGGGTGTTGGCCGGAGGGGAGACAATAGTTCCCCCCGCTTTTGTTACTTAGGGCCTCCACCTGCTCATGGGTGGGGGCCGGGGGAAGGGAGACAATAGTCCCCCCTTTGTTACTTTTGGCCCCCATCCGCCCATCATGGGTGAGGGCCGGGGGGGGGGTCCACGTTCCATTCGGGTGGGGGCTGGGGAAGGACACTGTTCTCCCCTATTAATTATTTTAGAAAATACCCCACCATGGGGACCTGTGCTAGGTCCACTTTATTTGATTCGGGGAGTGGGCCTTTTTTTTTTTTTTTTTATTAACAGTGAGCAGTTGGCTTCTCACTGTTTAGTAGACATGCCCCTACTCGCGGCATAGCGAATTGGGGCATTCGGGAGATTTAATCCATCTTATGCTAATATGAGGGTCATATTGCCCCTCATAGAATGACGGGGGGCATGGGGAGAGTTAGAAAGTGGCTGTATTTTCACATACAGTATTACAAGGAGGGAGCCGCGAACCGGTAACTCCCTCCTTGTAATAAACTAAATGAACAAACGAAGAGGTCTTCGTTCATCCGTTTCAAATTTATTTTCATTAATTTGTCTTTTGACGAATGAGGGAATAGACAAAATTCATGTCCGAATGCCCAAGTGTTTAACTGGGCATGTGTGGGAATTTCACAGCGCTGTCTAGTGTGGGCAGATGACTTTTCGCACAGGGCCTTCATCTGCCGACGCTAAGATGGCGGCGCCCAGGACCTAGGTCTGGACACAAAATAAAGTTTAAAAAAAAGGTAATTTGGGGGACCTAGGGGCATTTGGGGGTTACTAGGATGGGAGTTAGATGTAGTGTAGTTGGGTGGGGGATTAAATAAAAAATGAGTGCGGCCATTACAGTGCCGCTTTAAGCAGAACATTTTCTTTTTTTCCGGGTCAACAGAAGGTAATGCTGGTGTTCAGTTCGGCCAATTTTCAGTACGGAAAAATATTCGGCAAGGTCAATCGGACAGCCAGAAATGCAGGAAGAATTCTGCCTATGATTGTGTCGATATGTAAAAATGGCTACAATGTTGCCTTGCTTACTATGAATTATTTTTGGAATGCCAGCTCTGAGTTGACAAAATTAGACATTTTGAATTTTA